ATATATATATATATATATATATATATATATATATATATAAACATTATATTTAATTAAAGTATCTGATATATATATATATGTATATATATATATATTTATCAGATACTTTAATTAAATATAAATAATGTTTTTTTATTGAGAGGCACCAGCAATTAAAAAACTAAAATAATTTTTAGCATGGATTTTTCTTTGCACTTCTATGTAATCATGTTTATCTTTAATAAAGAATGAATATTCTGCATGTATTCTGAAACATTTTTGCCTGACAGCTAGCTAATTTTCCAGCTGTTCTACAGATACCGGCTGACCTCACATCAGTCTTTCTGTCAGTTTCTGAGGGACCTCTGACGATATATGAGCCTCACAGCTGTCTTTACTGACATGTTTCTAAGAACGAGTCCTCGGAGAGCAGCAGCAGATCCGTCCTTCGTTGAGGTAAACAAATCATGGTGGCATTTTCATGTACATCATGTTGGATAAGTTAGTTGAGGGTTTTCATGCAGTAGAAGATGTCTTAGCAGATTTTCAAAAAACAAAACAGACAACATCCCCAACTTTACTATAGTTCGGCTCGGTTTATGTAATTCTAAAAGTGTAAAATTGTTTATCGCATTTCTGTAAACACTACTTCACTGATCAGATGATAAGTTGGCTTTTATCCCAGATAAATGCACTGAGCAGGAGAAACATTCAGTTTGCCAAATTGAATGATATACAAGCCATCCATTAAGACAGATTTTCCAGTTTGTTTTGCAAAGAAAAATAAGTTTGAACAACCTCTCAGCTTAACCATGAAACATTTGATCATTTTTAAGCTCTTATATTATTATTTCAGTGTGTGTTGATACAAAGAAACACAGATGGTAATACTAGAGAAACATGAAGCTCAAAAGCCTTTATCTAAATGTCTTTCAATGCAACACATTCTGTTAAAAATTTTTAGCGGAAGCATGCTTTTAACAGATATGTTGCATAATGTTTGGAGACACTTGGCTGATAATAAAGCTGCTGACTGGCTCAGACTGCTCTGATCCAACTACCATAGAGTTTGACAGAAACTTTGACTCAGAGATTAAACTGTAACTCAAAGCAAAAAACACAGAAAACAAAAAAGGTTTTATTGTAAGATTGGCTTTGTCATTTTGATCTTCACCTTTAATAATTGTAAGCAAAATAAAAGCTTTAGATATGGCAATCTTATCCTTAACATGTTTATTTTTTTGCCATATTTTGCATATATGCAAATTAAACTTGATAGCATTAGCATTAAAGTAAATAGGGTGTAAAGCATAAAAAATACAATTTCAAAGGAAATTCAAAGGAAAAAAAGAAAAACATAAATTAAATTGCATTTTGAAAAATAGCATTTAAGAAAAAAAAGAGTATTTCTGAAAAATGCTCTGTTCTGATACAGATTGCTTAATTTAGGAAATACCTATGTTAAACAAAAGCAAGACAAAAAAATCCCCACAAAAAACACCAGCTGACAACATTTTATGTAACTTGCATAAACACAGACAAAGCTAAAATAAAAGGGAAATGATCCAAATAAAACAAAGTGGTGGTAAGAAAGAAAGTTGAAGATCAAAATGAGGTTTTGAAAGATGGTTTTTTCCTTCAGAAATTTCATCATGTTTAATTCATCAGCTGTCATTTTGTATGATTAATATACAGTTTTGCTCTTGAATCATTTCTCTCTTATGGAAAAGGTGAGAAGATGATCTGATCTCTGCAGTGATAACCCCACCCACCAAAAACAGCTTGGCACCCCCCAACCCCGGCCCCTTGACGCTCTTCCCAGGTTTCACTTATACCAGGTCACTTTACATGTGGCATTATCTAAACACACCGGCTGTTTGCATTTACCCTCCTCCCTGAAGCTGTTTGCTTGCTTCTAAAGCATGTCTTCAATATTTGATTTAGACATTCATTTGAATTGCATTAAAGTGAAAAGAAATAAGAGCTCCACTTACTACAGAATCACATGCTTACAATAAAAACTAAAAGAAAAATCATTTTACCCAGCTCCAGGTGGTGTCGGTGGAATACTGCTGGACAGCCTCATCTATCTCCTCTTCGTCCACTGATATCATGTGTTAAATCTTAAAAGCAGAATGTCTTAAAAAATTCGAGGTTTGTTAATTAGAAACTCCACAGGTGTCTTCACTCTGAGGGAACGACGAGTGTCTGACCGTCAAGTGCAAGTCAACATCGTCTAAATTTACCTGGGACCCCCAGATGGAAACCTGAGTCAGCCATGAGTGGAAGTCTTCCACAGGAACCTCTGACTCCTTAGGCATTTGTAGGGACGGCTGGGACATTTTGACTGTTAGTCTGAGAGGACAACTTTTGGCTCTACATGATCTCACACCAGTCAGACAGCCAGCCGAGCATTTCAAACGCATGCCGCTCAGTCCTCCTAATAAGTGCTTTTCTCATTACTTAATAGAAAGAGTGTAATATGTGTGACGTCTATTGCGCCCCCCCTGAAAGAACACAATGCTGGCGTCACTGACATTCAGTTAAGGCCAACTGTTACATGAGCACATAATCATAATGGTACACTGCGTCTACAGCATATAATAAGATCCTGTTATCACTATCTGTTTATGTGCTAAGTGAGTTCACTCAATAATACATGGCTTTGCATAAGCCATAGTGTTTTAATTTTCAATGAAGCTCACTAACCTCAATATATAATACTGCAATTTTATGCTACAGACAAACATTTAACATAGAGGATAGCTGTACACTGGAAGGTTACAATAAATTGAAATTGAATTTTCTTTATGTAATAACATGTTAATAACATAGCAAGTTACACTAAATTACTAGGTAACAACTTTATGGAGCATCTTTGATAAGTGCTGTGCTGCAATTCCTGGCAGACAAGGTAAAGTTAGAGTTGTTAGATTCCAAACAGTTATTACCAGCATCAATAAATTAATGTGCTATTATCTAATAAATTGCAGTTTATTACCTGGCATATAGCAGAAAACCAAACCTAGAAGACAGCAACAATTGTCTAATAAATTGCAGTTTATTACCTAGAAGACAGCAACAATCTTCTTAACTCAACTCTTATTTATATATAACTTGAGTTTAGTTTTATAATGTTTTAGTTACAATTTGCCTTATAAGCCATTGGTAGGTGGTGGCCAATAATAGAAACTGTTATGCAGTAACCTAATGCTAATTACCCACCAAAAGTCTCTATTTTTACATAGTAACGTACAATTGTAATAATTACATGCAGGTAATTACTTTTAAATTATATACCTTAATTTTGGGGTAATTTACAAATAACATTTTACCTTTTACCATGTAATATAGTGTGAATTGCTATGTTATTACCATAGTATTACATGGTTATGGATGTACTGTAAAAGAAAGTGTTACCAAAATGTTCATCTAAAATACAAAAAAAACCCATCAGGCTTTTGTTTTCATCCCATTTTATGCTGATACCACTCAAAGAAACTCAGCGTTGCCATTTAGCTTTAGTAATATAAACACTAGATGTGTGTAACTTGTTCTGAGTATAAACATGGATGATTTCTGAATGCATTGAAGATTTGTAATGAATGAGTGGACAAACAGCATCATTAGGAGCTGAGGAACTTACCTAATTCAAACCAACCAAGACATGACTGTCTGCTCATGTCAGCAGACGAGAAACTTAAAGGCAGGTGTCAGCAAACTAAAATGTTCAAAGAGCCAAATTGGACCAATAAAACATGAAACAGATCTGTCGGGAGTCGCAAACATTTGAAATGCTTATATAAGCCTCCTCAGGCTCTACACGTATATTAGCCATCTATCAAAATGACCAAGTAGGCTTAAATACCTAATAGGCATTCATGATTAAATGTTTATTTTCCCTGCAGTGCATCCTGGAGAAAATGACACACCATGTGACTTAATCTGCTGTACGATATTAGGTGCTTTAAGTTTAATGTCCATTACAGTATTAATGTATTATGGTTTCTTGAATTGATCAAATTATAGAAATACAATAAAGAAATCAGATTTTAGGTGTTATCTTTATTTTGAGGACTTCAGAAAACGGAATATGCATTATAAGACTCCTGTAATTTGAACCTCCACTTGGAAATATGATGCAGTCCTCTTCAAACCAAAGTAACAATACAATCCTTTCCCCCCTTCTTATTGGGGCAACAGCAGCCTGTTCATAAGGTAAGCAGACTATTTAAATGAAAATAAGCTGATATATTTTAATTACATTGCACCAATCGGTTTGTTTGCAACAGCCACCTGCCTGGCAGTATGCCGCGCTGAAACGTGTCGCAGGCTATGAGGAAAATCTTTGTTGATGTTTCAATTTATTGTTTAAATTTATGTATTATACACATTTTTACAGCAATGGAAAACATAACGAATGTTTGTTTGTCATCCTGCACACTACATTAAAAGAAACAAACAAAAATCCATCTTTTTCCATTTTGTTTACTTTGATGAGACACAAGGGGCGCTAAANTCATCCTGCACACTACATTAAAAGAAACAAACAAAAATCCATCTTTTTCCATTTTGTTTACTTTGATGAGACACAAGGGGCGCTAAAGAGCCACATGCCTATCTGGAGGAGCTGTGGAAATCTAAAGCTCCAATGAAAGAATTTATCAACAGAACTATAGTTGTGCATTTCACATTTCTGTGCTTTGAGGACAAGAGGAAGAGCTTTTCTCTAAAAGAAAATCAAGTCTTGAACATGACGAAAACCCTAAACATTCAGTCTAACCTAAAGTGGAATTGTTCCCAAACTTTTCAGCTTCTGACTCCCAAAATGGTACCAGAGTCAAATTACCCAAACATTTCTACAGTCAATTAACTCTGGGTGTAATAATATTATAAACTGACTCAGAAACTAAAGTAATTGGTTTTATCCATCTTTGGGTGATTCTTTAGGTTATTTTAGTACTTTAACATAAATGTCTAATAAGTTCAATATCTGTATTGAATCTCTAGACCCCATATTGGTTGATCAAGGACCCCAAGTGGGGTCATAACCCCAACTTTGGGAATCACTGATTTAGATGATAGCATTAGTTGTTTTTAGATGGTTGTTTACAAAGCATTGTATTGAAATACCATCATGGAGAGTTGAACGGAAGAAAGAACTGTAGTAGAAAATGAAAAACAAGATGAACAAGGTGCAACAAAGCCTATTGAGGAGCTTGGGGTGAGACTCAAAAGATGTGAACAACAGCTGGAATCACTGAGTCAGAGTCATCATAAACAGATGATATGTTGGGGAAAAGTACATTTTTTTGGTTACTTTGCAATGTCACTGAGATCTACTCCAAACATGTGCTTTATAAAGATACTACACCTTAGAATATTGATAATTCTACATCCAATCATATGGTGTTTATAGGGTTAAATTACAGATTATTCCAATTCAATTTTCATTGTAATTAGATTATATTTTCATGTTGTAAATTCAGAAAAAGAAACCTGGTTGCTCTCTGATGACACCTGGTGGAAGGAAAAACTTGAATTAATAGGATATTCTACCTTCAAAATGCCATCAAAACCTTTTACCGTACATGAAATATAATATACATAGATAATGATGATTTTATTATTTAAAGGCCATGAAAGTGTATTTAAAAAGCTTCTGTTTTACAGACTGTTTTCTGAAGGTGTAATCTCTCTACACCTAAAGCAACATTAGGTAGCCAAACAGAACATTCCCCATTTATTTCATTTTCTGTCTAATTTTACATAAACAGATTGGGAAACTTGTACCAACACAAGAAGGCCCTGGTTCTGGGTACATTCTTCTGATCTTAATGGATACTTTTAATAGCACAAGTGCTTTTCCAATCTTGGCTGGAAATCAGTCTGATCTGGCCAAGGTGGTCTCCATTTGTTTGCCTGTGGTGCCACCATATCGGAACTTTGTTTCACTGATGCATCCTGGCCATTAGCAGTAAAATAACAGTTTATTATGATCATATGAACATGAAACAATATGATTCCAGAATCATTAACACTGAATGAGTGAAATGTTGAGTTTTGATTCAAATAATTCATTTTTTTTTTTTTTGCAATTGGTTATATATTTTTGAAACAATACTATGTGTGCACATATCCTCTGGTATGTTCATATCAGATGTAGCACTGTGGGAAAGGAGGGGTGGCCGAAAGCAGATAGGCAGCAGAACCTCAGGGTCAATCTACACTGTTCCAACAGGAAAATTAACAAGCTAAACATCCATATTTTCTAAATAAAGACAAACTATACTTTCGTACAGCCTTTGCTAACAAATACATGCAGATATTTAAACATCGGTGATTTCTAGATAAAAGGTATAGTGGATAAAACTCAGTTTTGAGTTCTGGGGCATAAATCAATCATCATCGTCATTACTTACCTACTTGTATCAATAAACATTCTGCATAAAATTGATATTTACAAGCACTTATATCTACATAAATTGATTATTTGATAAGTTTTTATTAAATTTGTTGTTTATCTTTGATTTCACTGAAGACTCCTATATGACTTGCAGAGACACATTTTCTCTTTACCCCATATAAGACAAAATCTAGTTTTGAAAAGATAATGAATTCTGTACCTATCATCTTTGATGTTAGTATATTGATGCGTATGATTAACCACAAAAAAATAAAATGTTTTGAATATTCCACTTGAGAGTACTACTGCTGCCACCATCTGTATTAGAGGGAAAAATGGTAGGGGTGGCCACAGGGGTGGCCAATAATTGGCTAAGGATGGCCATGGCCACCACTGGCCTCCATCTAGCTCTGCCCCTGCTGACAAAGGCCCCCTGCTCACAGCTTTCAAAGGGATGGGATAAATCCAGAGATAAAAACTTGTAATGTACAATAACAAGTAATTATTTCCAGGGATGAAAGTAGATTTAAGTTCTTGCAGGTACTATATAAAAAGGTTTATAGGCCTATATTTTTTTTTATCACACCCTGTATGCATTTTAAAATATTTTTTTGTTTTCAGATTTGGATTAATATAACATATTTCTATACTCTATCTATACATACAGCCAAAGTGGCAATACACCAAGATTAAACATAGAACCACAGCGCCTCTTGCTGTTGGAACTGTAAAATACAATAGATATAAGTTGCCTTCACATGCTATATTTAA